CTCAATCTATGTGGTACCTCAAAAACAAAGGTTCGTGATCAAGACTGAATGTGTTAATCATCCTCTCTTCAAATCCTTACTTGAAGAAGCTGATTCGGAATATGGATATAGTGCTGATGGCCCTCTTATGCTGCCATGTGATGTTCATATTTTTGTAAAAGTGCTGGTGGAGATGGAACATCCCGACGAGATTAATAGTCTGCAGGGATGCAACTTTGCTAGGAGTCACAGCTCTTACCACCTCCTCACGCCGCCGCGAATTGTAATGATGAATAAATTTTAAAGTTTGCGGCTCAAGGTGTAAATGCCGTTTGTAAGATCTTAATCTCGTGTGTTTTAGATTTACTATGAGTATTTTCTTACCAGAGATAAAAACTAGAGCAATTGAGTTTGGTTTATGTCAAATTGAGGATGGACAGAAAATTCCATGCTATGTTATATATGTAAAATAAAAAATATAGAAGTTTTTAAATGTTTCTGTCTTTCTATTTCGGTGTAACAGTTTTTAATGTTACTTAAGCTGCACATTAGCAATTTGACGTTTTTTTCCTCTAGCATTGAGTTATGTTATGTAATTGATTTTAACCTGAACATCAATAATCTATGTGGCATGAGGACTCGAATTCACATATTTAAATAAGTTGGAGATAAAAAGTTCTACTTTTTAAGTCGGACAATCAAAACTCCACTAATTGAAAGATTGGAGAAACAAAACCTAATTTTCTCAAATATATATAGTTCCTATTTGGTACAGATTAAAATTGAATTTTTTAGTAGAGTTCGATCAAAATTGATGAAATGTGTGGTTGAAATTTATTATTTGACTTAAAATATTAAACATTGTTTAATTCATACCAAACAAAACAGAGGTATATTCTTGTGATTTATTTAATAAGAGAAAAATATAAGCTTTCAATACGTCACGAAAATACACGAACTCATGACTTCAAGGTTTGTCGAGCTTCAATTGATCAAAATATGAATTAGATTTACATATATTAATAAATAAATTTATCTCCTAACTAAAGATATAAAATATTTATATTTGGTGGAATTATTGGTGTTTTTAAATTAGTTATGACCTTAATAAGTTAGTCCACAAATAAATATGAGATGTTGGAGTTTAATTACTTAAAATTTATAATTTGGTCGGCTGTAAGTCCTATTGTCTTTGGCACAATTGGATATATGTTAATAAATTACAATTATTGTGAATTAATTTATTAAGCGATTAATATTATTTTAATTTGCCACCCTAACGAGTTTCTCTTTTGTTCTTTATTTTGTTTAGAAGGGTAGAGTTGAAGCAATAGATGTTAACTCGGACAAAATATAAAAATAACTATATTAAATAGTATTTAGGTCAATGGACCAAGTTGCTTGGAAAATCATAAAAAATAGCCCTACATTTAAAGTCTTTCTCTTTTCGTACTTCTTTTTCTTTTCACTTTTGTCCTACAAAGTGTCACACGCGGTATCTATTTGACTTTGGATAGATCATCTCATGGTGAAAGGAAAATAGTTCACATTTGCTAAGGACTAAAATAAAATTTTAATTTAAATCAAAATCAATAATTAATTTCGATTATATATTTTATGGAATTTACAACTTCTCAACCACACATTTCTTCAATTTCTAACCAAATTTACTAAAATCTAATCTAAATCCCACCAAATAAGGGCTAAGAGGTGTCAATTTCGGTAGTCCAGTTGGGCCGGGTTGGCTCGCCAACATATGAGTCCAGTAACGGCCCGCTTGAAAAAAGACCGCCCCTTCGGGTTCCGGACCTGTTCGGGTCGGCCCACAAATTTTAGACTGCAACCCAAACCCGCCTGCTGACCCATCCATATTGAGCCCATACGGGTCACAGGTCGTAGTTTGTTCCGATTTGGCCCATATTATTATATAAATAAAATT